AATTTGAAATCGGCCAGCTCAACAGCACTGCTCATCTTGCGGTCATGGCTCCTAGTAAGGCATGCGTTAGTATGTTTGGCCTCGGGCTTGAGTGATGAGCTTGCGATGTTGCGGATATGCACTGGACTCGCATCGTCGGCGGTTGACTTTCCTGACATCGCCACCTTGTCTTAAGGTGGCCAAATTGCCTGTAGGTAGTTGTTCATGGCTATACCTTGACCGAAATCCCTGCTTTCACGATGCCTACAGGTTGTGAAATGGGATTCTCTCGGACATTAACCTTCCAATCAGGAAAGCGTAGGCACGTAACACACTCGAATGTGTAGTACTTAGTTCCCCTTCACTTTCTGGCACTGTCGCTAATGTCAGCTCTAGGAGTTTCTTCTAGGTCGTTTGATGGCTCCTTCTCCCCATAGCCGACCGAGGGATTGCCTGTGTGTGGCCGTATCTCGTCGCGGAGATTGGTTATTGCCTGGGCATGGAGTCCACGTGTGAGGGAACCCTAACTGCAGACCAGGTAGTCTCGCTACAGATGTGGCAGGAATTGTGGGGATTCTGGTGAAGGAATAGGTCTGTATACATGTGTCAGACCTCCTTCCTTGAAGGCAATGATTCGGCTTTGTCTGTCATAGAACCTCTTCCACTCGACATATCCTTTTTGCAACTGTTTCCGTACTGCGTAAGCCAGCCTTTAGCCTCAATTCATTCCACTTGATCTAAGTTGTGCATAAAACCGACATCAAAGGACTTATTGTCCCGATACTTCCCATCAGGCGGTGGAAGGCATTCGGTAAGCCTTGATACTTTTATTCAGAGAGGCTTGGCTCTCAGCCCAGCCCACTCGGGCAAGAGCAAGATGGCCGCCAAAGCGACCGTCAGTCATGCAGGTAGTGGAATGAACATGGCGTCATGCGACTGAACCATTAAGTGGTGCCACGAGTTTCAAAGAGGTGTTCACAAATAGTAACCTGCGTTTTCCTCTCCGAAAAAAAATCTGGATGCGCCTCAGAGATAATCGCACTTCTTACGATGGACTCTTTGTAAAAGGAAGTTTATTGGAGAGAGGGGAGCGTATGCAGTGTATCTGGTGTCCCTTTCATTATTAATAAAAATTAACTACTCGCTTAGCATTTGGAAGTATTTTTTTTTCACCTTTTACATTAAATTTGAGGATTAGAAAGTCTCTCGGGCGCCTCCACCCGTCAACTGTTCACCATCACGTGATCGTTTGACGTCGAGTCTGGGCCTGAAAGGTCTTGCAAGGCGCTTAATAATTCTCTCCTCCACTCCCGCTTTACTCGGGCTTCAGTCTCCTTTACTTATTTTTACGCACCTTAATCCCTTCAAGTTGTGTTGTTGTGGTCTTTGTTTTGTCGCGTGGAAAGGCCAACCAAGTATCAGCTGCACACTTCCTCCCCTAAGGCAGCCTTTAGGCCAATTTTCACAGAATATTGGCAATTTATTTTTAGTTGAACTTGGATGGGCTTATGAATGCACACGTAAGTGCAACGCCAAGACTTTTTCCTCGTCTGAAAGCGGACTCCTCGGTACGGATGTGAGACATGTTTGGTCAGAGGGCTGTGTGTCTCAAAGTAAGCCAAGCTTTGAGCTCGAGCACCGGAGCATAGGCCTCTGGGTGTTAGGAACTGCTTCTCCTTCTTCCTTGCGAAGATTAAGCCACTCCATCCTGCCGTTTACTCAAAACCGATTGAGTGAATTTGTGGGCTTTGTGGTGCTTTGGATCCAAAGTATCGTTGGTAGAAATGAATGCGGTCAAAAACGAGGGGCACAGTCCTTTTTTTTCACTTTTCCCACGCTTCAGAAAGAGTAGTGTGGCGAGATTGATTCCCCTTTTTCACCTTGACTTGTTCAAGAAACGATAGTCCAAGAGTTTCTTTTTCTCTCTAAGCTCCCTTCGGTAGACTTTTAATTTGTAGGCTACCTTTAAATGGGCAATAAATTTGCGGATTTCACGTTGACATCCTTCGCAATCTAAGCGGGTGCTGGATTTTCAACACTTTCTTCATGCACGAGCGCGGTTTTTTTTGTTCCTAGTCTTAAATGCCCTCGCATTTGTGCATCAAAATTTTATCACCGAATCCACCCAACCACTTGAAAGCGCCGCCTCACATCTGATTTGTGCCAATTGGTAGGAAAATCTGAACGCTGGTGCTGCAGATATGTGTAGAACTGGAGGACCGACGACGCTGGTCTTGTCGTAAAAGGAATGCGTGGATTGAGAGGTGTTCCATTTGAATGCACCTTATTTAATCAAACATGCATTCGCCAAACGAGTCAAACACCAAAGCCGTAGCAAATCGCATAGCCGAGCCACAAACCTCGTTTGGAGAGGAAATTCGAATTACTATGCTCGAATAGTTTTTCGATTGCCTACTTTGTCTGGTCGACCTGTCACCTTCGAGCCCAATGTAGGAATTTGCGTGTTCACGAGCGAACTTGCAACATTTTTCTCTTGGCCAAAGCCACAGGTGTGCAGCCTTGGCCATTGCATAACAAGCACTTGTTTAATCTCACTCTGAAGACGAATTAATGAGGTTCAAAGTCCCACCTCGAAGGGCTTCCGATGGTAAGCCTCCACCTTGAGAGGCGGCGACTGATGTCGGTGTCCTGTTGCCCTTCTTTCTTTTTCCATAACATAATCTTAACCAACACAAAAACGCTAGCTTTCATGTTTGCTTCACCAGTTCAGTTTAAACCAGATCAGATAGCTTAATGACCACTGGCAGCATTAACAACGCTAGCGTTTATGGAGTGTAGTCCTCGGCCTGGCATTTGGGGGCGGATATGCCATCGCTACATCTTCCCCTCCATCTTGTGCACTTTTATCAACATGCTATGGGACACTTGACCTTAAAAAGTGCATCGCCCCGCTACCACAGTCCCCCCAGTTGACGAAATGTGTAATAGGTGTTGAAAAAAATGCGTTCAGGTTTTTTTGGTTTTGCCAATTTTGCTATCCATGACCAGGCTATGAAATACAATAGCTACTGAAATGCACATTTTTTATCAGTAGCATGGTAAACAAGGGCTCTAAATGGCCACTTTCAAGGTGAAGCATCATTTTCATTTTCCTAGACAGTAGATGTTTACAGTTCATCGGAGTTGTAAAAGCTAGAAAATGTGCGAAAAGTTGTACCCTCCGGATACCAACTGGTAAACAAATAAATTATTCACTTGGACAGTTGGACTGTCAATGCCGGGTTGGTTTTTGCAAACTCCTCAATATTTTAAGCAAATAGTAAACAATTTTCACGTGCTCCTACTCCTTGTTTGCAGTTTTTGAGCGAATAAGTGTTGCTGGGGCCTTCGCTTGCACAAACTCGGGTCATTCACTTCTATATTTTTCATTCAGGGGCCATAACTGTCAATTGGAGACGTCAAGAGAAGTTTGGCTTATCTTTGTAGCTAAAATTAATCTTCATGAATGTCCTTAAATGTCATCTGGAATTTCACCTACAGTTTCGAAAATGTCACTTTTCCAAGGCTTTTGGCAAATCGAATGCTCCATTCTGGAGGACGATTTTGCACGTCAGATGTTTTTTTTTAAATGAGTAAAAAAAAGGTTATCATTGGATTTGAAGGAAGTGTTTAGCGTGCTCGGTATAACGCACCTGAACTACACCTGTCCTGATAACCTTATTCTGAAGGCTATCGTGGTTGAAACAGGTTTTTATTATCACCTTAACAAATATACCTCAATGAATCGCGACTGAGGGTCATTTCTCATAGAGCTTTCTGCCTTTAAGATAAGTACGAATTTTAGAACTCGCTGGTTGTGAAAGAATTGGGAATTTACCGTTAATGACGTCTGTAATTCTCGGAAGGAGATTTGGCAATTTCAATTATGCTAATGTATAAGCATCTGTCAGTGTATCATCGTTTTCGAAATAACAACTTGTTTCATAAAACAATCATATTATCACCATTAATTGGAAGAATGGCTAGTGTGTTGGGTGGAGTGAAATATATCTCCACCGTTCCAGACCTGGATGCTCGAGTTACCCGTTTAACATGGCATTATTGACGAGCTTGGGAAAAAAGCTCTACTTATGCTTGTAAGTAGGCGATATTGAATCGCATATCATGACATAGCACAAAGGATTAAACTAGCACACGCTCCCCACTTAACTGCCTTCTCCCTTTCTGCCGCCGCTTGAGAATTTGAATCACAATGTACTTTCATGCTTCAACATATTCATGCTAGTACACGTGCGATGAAATGCTTAAATAGTTCCAAGCAAACAGAATGTCGATTGGATGACTGCGTATCGAACGGAGAAACCCAAAATATCGGTCAATTTTTTCTTCTCAAGACTGACAAGATCTTGATTTTAACTAATATTGTGAAGAGGGACGTTTTCGGTAGCAGGTCAATTGAATGTGTATGCGTGGAGAAATGTAATTGGTCAACCGAAAGCATGCGCGCGTGGGCGCGGTCACAATAAACGCCCACACACACAAACGCACCCAGTTCAATTTCGTGGGCCATGTTCGAGGTGCGCCAAGGCGCCGAAGCCTCCGTAAGAGAGCATCCATGGTCACATTCCATCGGACCCGTGTGTCGATTTCAAGCAATTGATCATGTTCGGAATGCGGCTCCCCATGAAGTGTCAACTTCACCAGAAAAGGCCGACTTGGAGACACGGATCGAGAGATTGTGCGCCAGCCTTCAAAGCATTCTGGACCGGTCCAGAACGAAGGAGAGATGGAGCAGAAGAGATAAAACTCAATCTACGTACACCACTTTTCGTCAATACTTCCCTCAACCTTATGGACGGGATATTTCTAAAGCTGACATGTGTGAGCTTCACAATTCAGTTTCTGGCGCTTGAAGCAATCCCCCAATCCCTCTGAAGCCTTGCTTGTGTCTGACCGAAATACTTTACTTCATTTCTAATTTTTTGCAGATATTGATAGTGGAGGAAATTTGCACGGACCTCTGGACTTGAAGCACTCTTCAAAGTTGGATGGAGTGAGAAAATCCAGTGGCAGTTTTATCAAGAGGTCGTGGGTAGAAGGACAGCGCTCACAGTCTTCCACACGATCAGAGGGTGAGTTTATGAGACTTTGAGTTTCAAGCGGTATTCATATTTTCGTGCATCATCTTGCCTAAATTGTCTGCGTTGTTTGGTGCCCCCATTGTTAACATGCAGAAGGAGGAGGAAGTGAGAATGATGTGGTGTTTTAAAGACTTCAAAAACAGTTGGTACAGAATGGTTTTGTTTGACGCTTTGCTCATCCCACTTTTTACTTTCAAATGCTTCTCTTGACACCAATGCTAGTATTGCTACTAGTTGTGGGCTATTGATAGGTGCAACTCAACTGACAAACGTCAGAGACTACAATACGGTGGAACCCTTGTATAATTCGGCCACACATAGTTTTATGAGATGGAAAGGTCCTGCACCTCCCATGTCTGCGTAGCCAAATGGGAATGGGGTCAGAGAAACGAAAATGGAGGCGTTGGATGGGGAATGGAAGCCTCTGTTCTGATGACCGCAGCAGATTTTGGTCAGAAGTTAAAAGACTTAACTTTTACTGCCTTTGTTAATGCCAAAGCGTCAATGCTTTGGCGAACTTCTGCCCTAGTCATTGCCTCATTTCGGTTGGTGGTTGGTAGACAAATGAATATCTCCGGAGGTTAGGCGTCACCTTCGAAGATGTTTAACAGAACACTTTTGGCCTTTTGCATTTCCTTTCACTTCGAGTGCCTTATTATTGCTCCCATGAGCATTGCTTTGCAGGCACTTTTGTTGTTGACGAGGGGACTTGTAAGTGGCTCATGTGGGGTGAGTTTTGAACCCCAAACACTTCACTTCTCAGGTGTCACCACTCGTTCAAGGAGATTGCTGCTATTTTTTTAATTTCTCATCCACGTGTAGTGCTTTATCTCAGAGTAGGTGTTGACGCCTTCAAACAGCAGTAGTAGTAGGAACTTCTTCATGCCTCTACTTGACTCGACTGGTGGAATGAGATTGAGTGTTGAAAGTGAACTACACAATCTCCGTAGAAGCGATGTGACACCCCTCCATACTTCTGCCATCAGGCTTAACTTTACACCGGCTTTGGGTTCCACATACGTCACCACTTCTCACCCATTCAAAGTGCAACATTAAACAATCCCTCTCGTTCAGAAATGAGTTTTGGTATGAATGAAACAAATTACTTGAAACTACTTTCAACCATCCTTTTTTTCTCTCTTTTGATTGTATTTTGACTAGTCGCCCCTGTAAGTCATGAAGCAGATTGTACGGAGCATAAATTTTATGATTTACCGACTATAGCTAAACAGTCTTGGCATTTGTTGCAATGCCAGAAATAGGATCAAACATCCACCCATCCAAGTAGCCCCAGTTCCACCAATCACGTTGCGTATATCCCTCCCACTTCAAGGACATTAGTAAGGCCCAAAATAAACGACCACTTTTCAGATCTGTGGGGGCAAAGGCGGTGGCAGGCCTTCCTCCCTGTGAACACTCCCAATGTATAATGCCACGGTGGGTTTTGGGCCTTCTGCTGTCTCTCCGCCCACGTGTGCTAGGTGGTTAGCCTCTTGGCTAGGCTGACGGGAGTGCTAGTTGGCTCTCGCCCTTGCGACCCTTAAAGGCTTTCTGACACCTCAAGGGCTATTCATTTTTAAAAGGGATTTCGTAGGGTAGTAAAGTAGTTATCAGACTTTCCAAAAGGATTGGCAAAATTTATAGCCCAGTTTGTACTTTTGTTGTGATGGTTTTAGGCTTAGAGGCATGCCAAATTTATTCTCCTAACAACTTTCCAAACAGCAACTCAAAGGAGTCCCACAGTGGGTAAAAGTTTTAAAACTCTACTCCTCCGAGTCGTGTGGTAGAAGAGCAGCTCTTGTGAAACACGTTTGACCACTTTCGAATGATGTCGAGGCAGTAAAGGCCCATAGGTTGGCGGTTTTTGCCTACCACTAGTGCTAGGGCTCACAATCGACACGGGATGGGAGTATTTTGTTGTATTCTAGTTGGAAAAGAATAATGTCACTAAAATGAGCATATTCAGTGCCATCACATTGTCTTTAAAGCTCCCTAAACCTCATTCTGTTGTCATTGTCTCGCGCCTCGGCGTGTTGTATTGTAAAATGTCGGCAGTCAAGAGTTTTGTTTGGCCTCAAGGAGGGAAATCGGTGTTTGGGGTTGTGTGTGTGTGTGGGGCAGGCGCCGAGTCCACCGAAAGTTATCATCAAGTAAACAATCTCCGTGTGGATCATAACAGCGTTTATGCTAGTCAAATAAGACGAACGTCAGACGGAAGGGACTTTGGACTGTACAAAGCAGCAATTCGATGCAAATATGCACTTTTCATAGCCTTGGTGTGTTAAGGTCATCTAAAGGTCATCATTGACGTGCATTGGGTGAACGATTCGATCGACGAGAGAAATGTGGGTACCTGACGGTGGCAACCTGTGCCTTGTGGATTTGAACAGTTCGTTTCTCTCCGTAGGCTGGAGCACACCGACAGCCAATCCTCACACCTATTTATAAAACTGAGGTGCCATCAGAACAACTTGGACCATAAGGTGGTTAGCACTTCATCCCTTCTCCCCAAAACGTCACTTCTCTCGTTTGACAGTTCCACTCTCACACGGGCGGGCGTTTTTAGCCCAACACAAGGCAGAAACACCTTTTTGGAGGAAATTAGTGAAGACGTTTCAAATGAACTGTGGCACTCAATCTCAGCACAAACTGACAAACTGCAAGGATCGTTGTTGTTGTCGGTTTCACACCTTCACCATGGCAACCCCCCACCTTTGTCAGTGCTGCTAAACCAATCGTATTGAGGAGAAAAAAAAGGTGCTATTAGATTAGTGATTTGGCGTCTGATAATAGTCGCCTTTTCTTCTTTTGGAGAGGTGAACTCACAGAAAGCAGATGAGCGGTCTCTTCTTTGTATTTCCACTGCCTCACTGCTTCCCACCTTATCATGCAATTCGTATTTCTGCAAAGGTAACACCAAATGCATTGCACGAGCGGGTGTGTTTCAAATATCGGTGTTAATGACTCCCAAATCATGCGAAATTTGTAGTAATTAGTACCTTTTTTTAATTACTTCGGGTTCACTTCGAAAAATCCCACAATGTTAAGACGCCTTTCTGGAGGTGTGAGGCAAATTCAGGACGCTGCTCAGCCACTTTCCAGACAGCCAAAACTCCCACCTTCTGTGTGCTGATCTCCTCCCATCCAGTGGTAGATTTGTTGTTGCTTTTCTACTACTGCATAGCATCTTTTCTGTCCGAAGTCTCTCTACTGCATTAAAATGAGATTTTTTGTGGAAGGAGGAGGGTTGTGGAGATTCATTCACCTTCTCTGAAAAGTCGCAATCAACTGGGAGCCTCAAAAGATCTTCCTCCATGGTCATGGATTGCTGTCAGAAATTCCAATTAAGTTTGGTCACAATGTACCCAAACCTTGCAATTAAAGCGGGCCAAAATACACTGAAGCAGTGACATTTTCCACCAAGGAAGGTCTTTGGCTATTAATTTTGTATGTTTATTGGCAAACAATGGGAATGCACTGTTAAAATGCCACAAACAATTAAGTGGTACCATCAATCACCTGTCAAAGGCATCAACTCAAGCTTTGTTCCACATTACAGACTGTTGCGTGGCTTGACATTCTGCATGCTTTGTGAATGTGTAAAGTTGATGTAATACAAGTCGGGTGTCGGTATTTCCCTCAAATTCTCCTCTCCTTCACCGCCAGCCAATTACCAAACTCTTGATGGTCGTCGCTCAAGGACGTGCTCAGAGTCGAGAGGTCATGTGAGCGCTGAGATTGATGGGCTATTGGACGACCTCAATCGGATGCGGCATCGTGAGAGTCTTAGCAACCGCATTGGCATCACTCGTTGGTCGTCTCTTGGCACAGTTCGTGGCGACGGCGGGAGGTACAGCACCACCCTAACCAGGCGTCATATGAAGCGTGGTCGTGAGCCTGTGGATATTTACCTCAAGAAACCGGTGAGTAGCGAATTTTTCCTTTTGGACGACTATTTCGTTGCTTCGCGCTGTGACCATTGCATGCTGCTGATTTGGATGTCTATTATGATTTCAGCGTCCATCGCCCATGCTCTATGAACTGAGAAGTTAGCACCATCATCAAAATGTTGTTCTTTCCCCTCATTTATTTAACTCAAAAGACAGTATCAAAGCCAGATTCACGGTGTGGACTGACATTGAATCGTCAAAGTCATTGGTCACTTGTCAAACAATTCATCTTCTAGTGGTTTTAACTTACTGTCTTTTCACCGTGTAAGGTGTCAGGCGGGGGGGAGGGGGGCGAGGGGGGACCGTATATTTGTCAAATTTTTTACGCGCACATAACTTGCACCTCCAGTTGTTACCTGCCTTTGCACAAATCCCACGATGACTGTCACACCAACTAAATGGTTACACAAGCACTCATGAAGGGCATGACATCAGCGGGATGAAATGCACAGCGAAGGAATGCGCAGAACAGTTGAGGTCATATGGCCTTGTCACTTACTCTACCTAACGTTGCCAAATTCGTCGTCACGGCTAGGCAGGCTTACGAGAGGCGTGAAAAAAAAA